AAAAACCTTTTCACAGGAACAAGAGATTCATCCAAAGAAGTTTCTAAAACATTCTTCATATAGGCTTGAGTCCATAACAGAAACTGTGGTCTGGGAGGTTTTTTTTCTTCCTTTGGATTAATAGCAGAGATGGGGATTGGGTATGTTCCTAAAACAACAGTCAGAGCAGAACCCCAAACTAAGGACATAACACTCATGTGGGTAGCAACACGTTCAATTGCAGAAGTACATCTTGCAAAGAGGAATGACACACAAGTTGGAAGAGTTAAGGAGCCCCTAAACTACATCCGTATCTGGAACATGAGAAACCCAAATCTCTCTCATCATGTAGCTATGCACCCCCATCACTGGTCAATGGATTATTATGGCAGACCCATTCTTTCTTGTGCAAGAAAAACTTGTGTTTTTTACTGTTGTCAAGTAAGCAACTGTAGTTACAGGCTGTACTGAAAGCCACATGCTACTTACCACGTTCCTAACCAACTGAGTAAACCAAGCTACTCAAATTTAAGGCCTGGCAAAAAACCACTTGAATCAAGAGTCCAAGAAATATTTTCCTCTTCATATTGGGAGCTCCTGCAGCTAAGATTAAAAAAAAACAAACACAACCACCATGAGTTTGTCTCCTAGGTACTTGTTATGAATCCCACCATTGTGTAGTATACATTGGGTTGTGTAGTATACAAATTCTGTAGGACATTAAGATGTGCTTCTAACAGCATGTGAAGTAAGAAAGCACTACCTCTATAGCACAGGAAAGAAACAGAAGCACAAGCAGACCAAGAAACACAGAAGGAAGCACAGTCTGTTGCTGAAGCAGAAATTAAAACACACACCCCTAATCTACCTTACTGGGCTTTTTTCCCCCCTATGAAATATTTTTCAAACAAGTGCAAGTGAAAAGAATCTAAGGTGCTTTGACTGCTTTTCAAAATCTAAAATAAAAGCTAACTCAACATATGAGAGAACAATGTCTCGAAGGCTGAAATCTGACAGCACTCTTCATCGCCACATTTCAAATTAACCTGTGGCTAGCCGATACTCAATCTGAAACCGTTACAGCTTTTTGAGAATTCTAGCTGAACCATTCACAGTCACAAACCATCTCAGCTTGGACATCACAGCAGTATAAGCAAACCAAGTAACAGCATATAGTTCTTCATAGATAACCTGATCAACCTTCCATAACAAACTTACTGCATTACAACAAGCGTGAAGTACCTTTTTATCCCATCAGAGAAGCTGGGGTGTATTTTCTAACATATTTTCCAAGCCAGCCTTTAAGAGCAGTGGGCAGACATCACAGACAGCCAAACACATCTCTGTAAGTTTATATAAGTTTGTACAAGGCATGTAACCAACACTTACAACTTGCTGACGCATATGTAAACTGGATGTCTTGGGGAATAAAAAAAGTGTAATGCATTTTATTTTATGAAAAGATTCCCCTGACAGAAGAAATATGCTCAGCTGATAATCCACTACTCTTCTTGCCTCCAATAAGCCAAAAACCTATTGAGAATAAACTAATACATATAGCATATAACATGCACAAGGCATTGCTTGTTATTGCCAGCTTTAGGTAAACATGGCAAAGAATATTCCAAATTATTTCTCTATATTCAGTATTTTCTACACTAACTGTAATATATTTCAAGCAACTGTTCAGAAGGATGAACCTAATGAAAGATAATTTAAATTATCTGTTCTTTCATCACTTGAAATCTTAAGTCTGAGAACTTTCCTCCTGTTCACACTGTGTTCCAGTGGACAAGTTCACATGCTCTCAATGTTGCAGTGCTTTCCACAACTGGAAACCTCCATACCAAATGTTACATAATTAGTACACGATGTACTTCAAAGTCAAGGCCACAAATAATTAATAACACATTCTGACCGCCAATATGCCTCATAATGAGCAAGAGTAATGAAGAGAGAAGCTGGGACTATCCCAAAATATCGTCCAGCTACACTCATTTCGAATGGCCACACAGCAGCAGGCTGAAGGCACAGGTACGCCCTCGCACTTGGGTAAGTTAAGGAAGTGTGGAAAACATGCTACGCCGTTTTCACCACACCTCACTCTGCAGGGCAGAGCCCAAGCGAGCATCCCCACAGACAAAGGCAGCACGTCCTTACGGCGGACCGAGTCCGGCGCGGCCCTGGCAGGTCCTCAGGGAGCAGCCCGGTCCCCTCCGGCGGCCCACACCAGCAAGTTTGGTGAGGAGAGCCTCCCCGGGCCTAACCGAGTCGCCACC